GCCCACGAGGCAGGATGAGCTGTGTGGCTCAAGTGGCGGCGGGGACCAGGCCACACAGGCCTGTCACTGTACAGGATGCACACTGTCCTAAGAGCAGGAGAGCCTGCTGCAGAGAAGCATCATCCAGTTCACACTGTAAGAGGTCACTGCGGCTGCTGCTCGGAGATCTGGCGGGGGACAGGAGTGAAGGTGCAGCTGTCTGCCGAACAGAAACTTCCCAACTCTCTTTGTTATCACACCTTGCAGAGAAAAACACTTTATACTTTGCAGGTCAGTACATACACACACACACACACACACACACAGAGTCTATGAGATGTGGGCTACCAGCCTGGGCTGGTGGGCGGGAGGGAACACTGGCATTCTCTGTGACCTGGGGCCGGTTTCTCCACGGCCCTGAGCCTCAGGCTGCTCATCTGTACAGCAGGGGTAACAGTCATGATCCCACCGCACAGGTTGTGGGGGACAAAGAAGTCCATATATCTAAAAACCTTAACAATGTTAACCTTTTTCTGTAAAACCATCATTATGTACAAATTACGAGTTTCACAGAATAAACTCAACCTTATTACATGCACTCTGCTCTAACGGTTTTCATTCTACTTCTTTTCTTTCTTAATGTTACTAAAAATCCTCTAAACTTCAGAACCCAGTAACCTGGGTCACGATCTATAGCTGGCAGCGATGGCTTGGACTCGAGAGACAGTGATGAGGGAACGAGACCCAGCGGACAGACCTGGACAATAACAGGGACAGGGGAGGGACAGAGGGAGGTATCGGAGGTCCTCTCGGGGCTCTGGGCTGACGTGCTGGGGAACGCAGCGGAGGAGTGGGTGTAGGTCTGAGAGAAGAGATCAGACTTCTGAGATCTAGACTTTCCACGTAGACTGCAGGAGGATTTGGGTGGGGCTGACAAAAGGAACGTAGGCACTTTACCATCAGGGAACCGTGTACCCAGATTCACATCAGAACTGTAGCTATTGACAAAGGCTGGGTCTCCAGACTGGGCAGGGGAGGTGGACGGCCTTTGTGAACCAAGCACAGCAGCAAGCGGCTGATGGAGGACTCGAGGATTTGGGGCTCCTGCCAAATGTCTTTCCCCACCCAACCCAAAGAAAGCACTAATCACATTTAATCAGAGTCTGTCTGCCCATCTGTTTCCTCTACTAAAGCAAGCAGATTCGGGGCAGAGACTGCCCGTCTCATTAATCTTTCTATTCCTCAGTCCTCCTGAGCCCCTGCCCTGCCTGCCACCTGAAGTAGGCGCTCAGCAAACATCTGCTGAATTGACAGTCAAGATTCAACATGATAAAACTCCAAAAAGGCCATTTACAGGGCAGGAAACAAGTAAGGCAGAGCAAACTGGGGGTGTGCAAACTCTGCTAGGGGGTTTCTGATGAATTAAAGGCACGGGCTAACCACAAGCCCACTGTTCACAGAGAAAACAAGTCTGCAAAAAAGTGTTTAACTCTGGAATGCGTGAAGGATATGGATCTTTATTATAAGGGTCAGAAATGCTAAGCAGGTCTGGGGTGGGAATCAGGAAGGCAAAGGGAAAATAACGCAGAAAAAAATGAGGCATAATGTGTACGTATCATTTGGTCTCTTCCAAAAATCACCCTAAACGTTTCACTCTTGACATCACTTCCCCTTCCCTGGTTACACTTCCCACCAACTGCAGGCTTTCTCTGGGATGCCCCGGCATTTCCCATCCTCGGCCATCCTCCAAAGCCCAGTTCCTTGTATGTTACCCGGTTTTTTCTGCAGGCACATGACTGTTCCCCCAACAGACAGGAATGGTGTTGCACTCCTGCTTATCCACTCTGCCCCTACACCTCACACAACAGTAGCTGATTAGCTGATTTTTAGACCGACTGATTTGACACTAAACACCAAATTCAGATTCTTATTTTTTATTCTTACCCCCTTTAGTTGCAACAGTGACTAAAGCTATCATTTTTAATAGTAGCAGCTACATTTTTTTAGCACCTACCACATACAAGACACAGCTAGGAACTTGAAAGACATCATCTTAGTCCCATTGGAGAGATGACAAGACTGTGGCTCAAAGACAACATAGTTTAGTAAGTGACAACAGCAGGATACTCACACCTGAGGCTACTTAGCTCTACCACCAAATAAGTGTGCAATCCCTCTAAAATTTCGGCAGGTTTTCCCTGGCGCAGGAGGCACGAGCGATGGCCCCTCTGATGTGAAATCTGCACTCGGTGCTCACCATCACATGACTAGAGCTCAACTCACAGAAAGCTTATTTTAGGCTAGAAAAGGCCATAATATATCAAGATCCATTCGTTCACATTCTACAAATACTTAGATTAGGTCAAGCTTATTTTAACTCTTTAAAAAAAAATGGAATGTGCTAAAGACATCATCTGTTTCTGTAAGAATGTTTAACTTAAACTAAGAAACCAACAATGTTCCGAACAATCAAATCATGAGTGTCAGGTAGTTAGTAAAATAACCACCAAACTTGCAACAGCAACCGTGCCCCCGTCTCCTATGTTACAGTCCCCCCAAAACTTTCACAAACATTTTTTTCATCTGGACATACCAGTAACTGTGAAGTGATTACAGTTACCTCCTTGTACACACGCAAAAGAAAAACAAGACTAAGAGAAGTTCAGTGAGCTGCTGAAGGTCACACCATGTATTACTTAGGACCCTTGGTTATAAAGGACAAAACAAAGCCCATCCAATTAGCCTAGGTAAAGGGAACCACCATAGGGCAGGGGGCAGGGGGGGGAGGGACCCCCTGAGGAGCACATGCCGAATCTTGGCTCCTCTCTGCCTAGGGCCTCCTCCTGCCCCAGAGCAGCCCATCTCTCTCCTCCACACAGGAAACCAGGACCACCAGAGGTCCAGGCCCCCATTTCCTCAGCTTCACCACCTCAGAGGAAAAGGCTCTTGGGCTTCAAGTTCAAAACCCCATGGAGATGGGCTTGAAATGATGCCCACCGTGCCTCTCTACTCAGCCAGCCCGACGCTGAATAATAAAATGGAGGGAACAGCAGGGCAGAGGCAGCTTCTCCATTCAAGACATGTCTCCACAGGCTAACCTTCCCCACCTCCCTTAACAGCTGTGATCTGGCCGAGGGGTCCACAAGCGGTAAAAGCAGTTCAAAAGCAGTTTCCCTTTTAGCTTCCATGCAGGAGGCCACCTCACACTCACTGCGGCGCATACAGGGTACCCGGGTGCCTGTGGCTCTGTGGAAACGGAGGCAGGGAGAAGCCCCATGTTAACATCCTATTGCATGGCTGCAAACTGCTGCCTTGGAGTCTCTGAAACACATGGGCCTCACAATACAGTCTCCTCTTTTACTGGAAAAAAATAGAATTCAGGGAGAGCCCTAACTAGCCCAGTCAGGTCAAGGGCCCCAAGTTCCCCAGAATGAAGAGGGCCAGGCAGACTGAACAATAAAAGGAAACAAAGGTTCTGTACACACTGCTGAGCCACTGCTCTTCAAACGCAAGCCCAATGATTTTCTTCTTTCTACACCACAGCTGATATTATTTGGGCACTCAATTGTGAAGTAATGATTAAGTATGTGAAAAGGTGCTAATTGTACAGCAAAGATGTTGAGTGCAAACAGAACTGGAAAAGAGGGAGATCGATGTACCCATTTACATCCCAGTAATACGTATCCTAGAGTAAGTCCTCTCCACAGTACAATTCCGTGCTAAGAAACAAAACCTGTTATTTCTTCATCAGTGAAAGTCGGAATCAGCCTTTGCAGCCTCCCCGCCTCCCCCTACCCCTCTGCCCTTACAGCTCAGTGAGGTGGGCTCCCCTCAGGTCCCAGTCTTCCTGTTCCTCTAACTCTGACGCAGGGGTCATCAGGCCCAGGTGATGACTGAAGTCCCTTCCTCTGAGGAGAGAGCAGGAACCAGAAACACAAAACCAGCCTACAAAGATGAACCCAGCTATTCAGTTTCCTGCAGAGTGGAGGGCTGACAAGGTACCCAGACCCCTCAGGTATGACGCGGCGGGGGGGACACCTGCCCCTCACTGCCTGGTTGGGACTGCTGCAAATCACTCAGGCTGCTTTTCTTTCATTGAATCAAGCACTTCTCTAGCCCTCACTACCTGCAGTCTTTACGTGCAGTAGGAGCGCTGTTTGCTTCAGCTGGCAGAAGTTAGCTTTCACTTCCAGCTTTACTGGTTGCACTTGCTAATGGTGACTTCTGAAAGGAATCTAGGGAACGAAATTTTTTTATCCTTTTCCCAAAGGCCTAACCTAGGCCTAGATGGCTGATATCAACTCCTGTTTCTCTAGTTCTAGCATTTTGCTTCTCCCACTAAGCCCATTTCATTCTCCCCTTCTACAGGCCAGAGATGAAGGTTAGTGTTTAGCATGCGCGCACAGCGTGCTCACCCTGTTCCCACAGAAGCCCTGTAAGGGCTACTTTTAAACCTCCTCACGGAGGAAGGAACAGGTTGAGGGAGAGGAGGCTCCTCCAGGGGTTGGCTCTGAGCTGGGGACAGTGCGCAGGGCCAGGGCCCAGCCCCAGCAGGGGGACCTGCACACTCCCTCTTTGAACCCCCCGTAAAGCGCCTCTCTGGAGAGTAACTCTTGTGTGGTGTCCCCGGAAAAGCCACCCTTGGCGCAAACACATCTGTGCTGCCCCTCCAAAAGATGTTTGTGATTGAGATAAAATTCAACTAACATAAATTTACCATTTGTAAAGAATTCGATTCAATGGCATTTAGGACATTTGCAGTGTGAAGCCACTACTGCCTCGATCTAGTTCCAAAACATCTTCATCACCCCAAAAGAAAACTCACAACATTAAGTGGTCACCGTCCACATACGCCCCTTCCCCAGCCCCTGAAAACTGCCCATTTGCTTTCTGTCTCTACGGACCTACCTACTCTGGATAGTTACACAAACGCAAACACAGTGTGCGACCCTTGCGTTTGCTTCTTTCTCCTACAGCACAGTGTCGTCAAGGTTCACCCAGGTTGCGGCACCCATCTGTACCTCATTTCTTTCTGTGGCTGAGTCATGTTCCATTGCACGGATGTGACAGGTTGTGTTAACTGGTCATCGACTGACGGACATCTGCGTTACCTCCACTTGGTGCTGTGAACCGTGGTGCTACGGGCGTGTGCACACAAATCGTACAGCCCTTGCTTTCGGTTCTTTCACAAACACACGCAGGGTGGAGCTGCTAGCTCCGGTGGTGGTTCTCTTTCACTCTTTGAGGAGCCCTTTAAAACATTTTGAAAACATGAGGCTCTACGAAGAAAATCCAAAAGGAAACTGAAAGCACAATGTAGAACCAAGGTGAACTCAAAGAAGTTAAAAAATATAGTTTTCTAGTCTCACCTTATTTTTGACTAGGCAGAAGAAACCCAAACAGTATAGTTCTTTTTTAAAGGCCCAGAACACTGGGAAGTAAAAATTAAGATATGCAATTTCTACCAAATAATTAGCAAGTGTTTCTGTGTCTCCGGCATATTTTTAACAACAAAAGCACACCTGATCAGGGCGCCACTGAAAGCCCCGTGACTCTCTGTTAGCCGTCTGGACCACAGACGGCAGTGGGGAGGACCCAGCAGAGGCCCTGACCCCAGGCGACTTTCCACTATCAGGAAAGATGGCATTTTCTGCTCTGCGTCTCATTTCTAGTTAAACCATTTTTTTCCTCTTTGGAAAGATGTAAGCCCCCAGCATCCTTTAAAAGACAATCTTGCCACACATCATATGTCATCAGAAAAATGCAAATTAGGAGACCCCAGTGAAGACCTGTGAGAATGGCCGCGGCCCGGAGGACTGAGAACATGAAGTGCTGGTGAGGATGTGGAACAGCAGGAACCCGCGTTCGCCGTTGGTGGGGGGTGCAAAGTGGCGCAGTTACTTTGGAAGACAATGAGTCTGGTTCTTACGAAACTCACAGACTTCATATTCTTACTGTATTACCCAGCAATCGTGCTTTTCATTGTGTACCCTCAACATCTGAAAACTTGTGTCCACACTAAAACCTGCATGTGGATGTCCAGAGCAGCTTTATGCATAATTGCCCAAACCTGGAAGCCATTAAGATGTTCTTCAGTAGGTGACTGGATAAAGAAACTGTGGTGCGTTTAGACAATGGAATGTTACTCGCACTAAATAGAAATGGGCTATCAAGCCATGAATGTTGTGAAGAACCTTAAAGGTATATTATTAAGTGAAAGAAGCCAATCTGAATGGCTCTGGCTGGTGTGGCTCAGTGGACTGAGTGCCGGCCTGTGAACCAAAGGGTTGCTGGTTCAATTCCCAGTCAGAGTACATGCCTGGGTTGCAGGCCAGGTCCCCAGCAGGGGACATGCAAGAGGCAACTGCACTTGATGTTTCTCTTGCTTTCTCCCTCCCTCTCTCTAAAATAAATAAATAAATAAGATCTTTAAAAAAAAAGAAAGAAAAGAAAAGAAACCAATCTGAGAAGGCTACAAACTGTATGATTCCAACTATCCAACACTGTGGAGAAGACACAAGTATGGAGAGAGTTAAAATACCAGAGGGCTCCCAGGCACTGAGAGTGGATGAACAGGCAGAGCACAGAGCATTTTTAGGGCAGTGAGGATACCATGTATGATACTATCGTGATGCATACACATCACGTTTGTCCACACCCACAGAATGCACAACACCAAGAGTGAGCCCTTGTGTCAACTGTGGACTCCAGGTGACTAGGATGTGTCAGTGTAGGCTCATCGGCTTTGGCACCTGTCCCTCTGGGGTGGGGAGTGTTGATAACGGAGGAGGAGGCTATGTGTGGAGACAGGGGCAACGAAATATGCAGAAAATTGTGCGTTCTGTTCAATACTGTTATGAACCTAAAACCACTAGAAATAAGCATGGGCTTATTAAAAAAAAACTTCTTTGTCTCACCCCTTAAATAAAATATTCCTAATCAGCTCTAAACCATGAGCAATACTTTAGGAATGACTGGGTAGAAGGTAAGTGTAGCCCACGGAGAGTGAGGCAACCATGAAAACCGACCCGGGATCTTTCAGCAGCCCCTTATGAGGCTGCCAATCACCAACGATGTTAACAGGGAGGACAGCGACAAGATGGGGATGCAGAGGGGCCGTACCAGGAGATGACACATCAGCACCTTCAAATTAAGTGAAGAACAAAACAGTTCTCTGAAAGACATAGTAAGCGAACTGCAAATGACAAAACTGACTCTTTGGATATACACGAAACACCAACATGACAGGGACGGCTGGCAAATCAGGTAACAGACGGGCACACTGGCCGCACTCACTCGGCAGGAGTTCAGTTAGGCAGCAGGTGGGCTTGAAAGCAACTCCATCCATTCGCTCTGTCTGCCTGTCCCGGAGAACAAGACGGTAAACCTGCAATGCCAGGAGCAGGCCGGAGAGGAACTCACACCCCACTTTTCACACAAGTGGTGTCTAGCATCCATGCACATGCAAAATATAAACAAACTTACACTGAGATTAGCTCTGGTGAGCCCTTTAAAGTTCACACCAAAACTGAAGGCCAAAAAGGAAACAAAGTGAGAAAGTAGCCTATTATGAATCAAAAAGGTCATCCCTTTGTCCTGAATGACTCTCCTTGGTCAGTCTCAGAGACAGGCAGCCCTCTGTGCTGGGGCTGATCGTGGTTAGGACAAACACAGACATGATTTTAAAACCAACAGCAAAGTGACGGGATCTCCCTTATTTGCAACATCCCCTGTGCGAGGCTCTACCAGACTGAGACTTAAGACCAGCCCACCAGGCATACATGTGGTCTGAATATACGAGGAAAATAAACACATAAAGCAGGAGGACTCATTCGGCAGAGGCTGGGGAAGGGGAGTTATGCTGAGAATATAAAATCAAGGAAAGAAAAGGCTATCCGAACCAACAGCTGACAGAGTTTAAGAGAGTGGGATCTCCCCTTCCTGGCAGCCAGCATCATGTCCCTCCAGCCCAATAAGAAAAAGAAACTGCACACTCCGCACACAAAGCAGAACATTGGAGCTAGGCGGCTGAAGCACCTGGGCCACTCCCTTGTTGTAGAGAAAATAATCCTGAGGTTCAGAGAGGTTCAGCAATATACTCAGGACCAACTGTTAACAGCAGCAAAGGTAGGTCTATAATCCCAGTCCCCTGGGAAGCCTTTCACTAACAACATGGATGATGATGAGGAGGAGGAGGAGGAGGAAGAGAAGGACAGCAGCTCCCATGTGCTGAAGAGTTTATCAGTAGGCACTACAATGAGGGCTTCACATATATTATGCAATTTAATCCTCAACAAACGATAAGTAGTATTATTATTGGCCTGTTTCACAGAAAGGGGTGCAGAGAGGTTGAGGGACTTACCCAGAGTCACACAGCGTGTTAGAAGCACAGGCAGATCTGCAACCTGGATGAGCCTGAAGAGCATTATGCTAAGTGAAGTAAACCAGATACAGAAAAACAAATACTGTGTGACCTCACTAATTGGTGGAACCTAAAATAGTTAAACTCACAGAAGCAGAGCACAGAATGATGGTTGCCAGGGGGTGGGGGGGTGGTAGTGGAAATAGTGAAATGATGGACAAAAAGTACAAACTTTCAGTTATAAGAGGAATAAGTTCGGGAGATGTAATGTACCGCATGGTGACCATAGTTCATAATACCGTGTTGCGCACTTGGAATTTGCTAAGGCAGTAGATACAACACACATACACACAGCGCAGACATACACAGAAGTGGTAACTGTGAAATGATGCGTGTTGATTAACTTGATTGTGGTCATGATTTTGCAATGTATACCTACGTCAAACTATCATGTTGTATTCTCTAAATACATACAATTTTTATTTGATAATTATACCTCAATCAAGCTGAATAAATCAATAAAAGGGGCCCTGGCTGGTGTAGCTCAGTGGACTAAGCATGGGCCTGCGAACCAGAGCATCGCAGTTCAATTCCCAGTCAGGGCACATGCCTGGGTTGCAGGCCAGTTCCCAGCAGGGGACGCACGAGATGCAACCATACATTGATATTCTCTCCCTCTCTCTTTCCCTTCCCCTTTAAAGATAAATAAATAAAATCTTTAAAAATAAATAAATAAAAGGGGATAAAGTACAGCACAGGTGGATGGAAACTTACGTTGAGCTAGAATACACCAGGATAAACCAGAAAATCACGGTAAACCCTTGTATCATGGGGTAATTTTTAGAGCCTTTCCTTCCCAAGATATAAAGACAATTAGCACTAAGGGAGATAAAAAACAAAAAATTCTGTTAACCAGGGAGAAGAGGGTCTCGACGCTGCGGCCTGGACAACAGGACTGCACAGATGCAGGCGTGAAAAACCAGGTGCTGATGCCCAGCCAGGCCCCTGTGAGATCCTGTCCGGGGTCCAGGGTCCAGCGTCTCGCACCGTCACCAGGTCACATACTCATGTTCACACAGTAAGTTCTGACAGTGGTGTTGCTGGGCCCCGCTGGCGATGGCAGAAATCAGTATTTACCAGATTATGGAAATAATCCAGTAATACTACTAAAAATATTACTGTGCTGGACACAAAATCACCAGTCTAATCATACACACAGTTACATTCAGTTTCAGGAAAGTTGTGCTTTTAAAAAAAAACATTGTGGTTAAAAAAAAAATCTTAACATTAAATTGAAACTGTTGCTTTCTGGCTAAATAAAAAGCACCTGGCTTTTCTCAGAAATGCCATTCACAGTCTCGGATTTCACAATGACTGTCCTCTGTCTCACTGTGGGTGGACGATGCTTGGTCTCTCTAACCCACAGAACCAGCGCATCGCCCTGACGGAGGGACCGGCACTGGCCCACTGCAGCATTCACCTCCTTTCACTGCAAACCAAACCGCGGGTCTGAGCTTCTAGTTCAGTTCAAGCTCTACAACCTCACAGAAGTGGAGCTCTGGAAGGTGCTTCCCACAGTGGATGGGTCACTTAGTCACTCTTAACATAACCATAAAAACAAGAGCAGCAGATAATGCTTCCTGGCTGCTTATCAGACGCCAAGCAGGGCGCTCAAGGCACCTAACTCATCATCTCTTCTAACCCTCGCAGCAGCACTGAGGCCGCGCCCTCATTTACACCCAACTTAAGGATGGAGACAGTGAAGCTCTGCAGGGTCAAGGGAGTTCCCCAAAGCCACACACCTGGATGCTGCCCACAGAATTCAAACCTGAGTAACTCCAACGTCAAAGCCTAACCTCTCACCCAGCACACACTGGCTGTCTCTCTGCATCCTCACAAAGCACAGGAGACGCGACTCTCGCCTCCTGGTGCGGACAAACGCAGGGTAAGTCCTGACTTATTCCAGTCTGTCTTCTCCCAGACAGACCCGTGGACCAACTCTGTACTCAGCACTGGGTTAAGGATG